TTCGCGTAGCCTTTACATTGATGGGAATAGGCTCAAGCACGAAGATAAGGTGACGTACCTCGGAGTTACCTTAGACCGTCGCCTTTGTTGGAAGGGACAAATTGATCGAGTTTGTGGATCAGCAAGAACAAAACTTGACAAAATGCACTGGCTCCTTCGTCCATCCCTTGAAGCTAAGGTGCGGCTTTTTAAGGCCATTGTCCTTCCAACTTTAAACTGGGGAATCACTTGCTGGGGCATGGCCTGTGATTCGTCACTAAAAAGGATGCAAACATGCATTACAAAGGCTCTCAGGAGGATGCTAGGGGTGAAGTGGCACCATTATGTAGAAAACCGAGTTATGTTCCAGAACACGGGAGTGCCGACGGTAACGGAGACGATTTGCAAATCCTCAAGTCGATACCGGGAACGTTTGCTCACACATGCAAACTGTCTGGCAAGACATCTTGCAACACCACTGGGTCGACGGCGTCTCCGCAGACGACACCCGGCAGACTTATGGATTCTCGGCCGTGACAGACACGGTCGTCTTCTGTAATAACACATCTTGATTAACTTTTGACCGGCTATGACCACACCTGATTTGCTCAAGAATGGAGCACCCGTTACCCGCTTTTTTTTGGGATCTTTAGAAATAATTCGTCAATACACGAAAATAAGGTCCATCCTTGTGTGGCGTGTTCAACAAACTATAAAAAAAAAAAAAAAAAAACTTTGATCACATGTTATTGAACGGGAAAACCGTTATAAATTTCATAAAAAAGTATGACCAGATCCGGGTTAATATAGAAATAGTACACAAAAATATTTTAACTGTGCCAAGACTTTTGTGTCACGAAAAAAGTTCCTTTTCATTTAAAATTAAAATAGCTTTAATAACGTTATAAAATATTAAAAATTAATAGTGCCTTTCAAATTAATAATCTTTTATTTAACCAAAAAAAATGGAATCATTAAAAATTCTACAGAAGCCTAAAAATAACATTTAAAGTCCAAAATTTCAGGTGTGCCAAAACTTTAGTGCGGGACTGTATATAAACACAAAATAATAACATTAACGACATTGCACATTACCAAACAAATATAAATCGACCCTCATAACATTACCTCTCCCTAATTAAATCGCTCTAAATACACCTTCAAACTTTTCGTATTCAAACAGTAATCGTAACAGGAAAACTGATATAATTATAAAACGAATTCCGCACACCTCACTTACCAACGCTCATTACATGGACAGATACCTCCTAAAGACTGGCCCATATTGGAACAGCCCACAATTAAACATGGACCACATTTTAAACTCCTGCCCTGCCCCCTCCAAACTCTGAGCTACATCCTTCCTCTCCGACAACCCAGTCAACATCATAGCAAACCCTAAAAACATTTCATTGATTCAAAAGCCAAACTCTTACATAAAATTTAAAATCGTTCTCATTAAATTACTACTGTCATCCCAGACGAGCAGAAGGCCATAGTTGCTAATCCTCTGAATAACTAGTTAATTTATAGTTTTACACCTTAAGTTAGCTTTATATAAATAAATAAAATAGACACCTCGTTCCTTTAATAATATTTATTTTAAATGTATTTCGTGGATTTCGTCCTTTGAGCACCTGACGTCCAAACGGTCCGGCTTAGTCGCAGCTGGTTCTGCGTACCCGAACAGCTGGCAAATCTTCTATGTTGATCAGCTGTTTTGTATCGTTGATAAAAACATTTGTTAAAGGCGTGCATAGGTTGCCAATATTGTTGGTAATAAAAATGTGTTTTGTGCTGGTGATCCAAGGTATGATGGAAAAGGCGATGATGTTTTGGCACAATCATTGGATGTTTGACATCCGCTGGTAGTAGCCGGGATTGTTCCATTTCCAAATGTTCGCTTGCCGATGAAAGTCTTCAGTTGTGCCATATTTTGAGGTGTTGCACCTACCTGGGTGACATTTTTTTACAAATTACTTAAATTTCAATCTGTCGATGTCAAGAAAGTCAACAACTATCTTTTTTTATATTATTAATAATTTTGGTCAAAAGTGTGCAACGCAGTATATATATTTATAACGAACGAGTCTCTCAGTTTTAAAGATATCGAAACTTTGCACACACCCTTCGTTCCTTTGCACGCAATTTATAAGTTGGAACGGCAGGGATCGGCCGACTATATCCTATATCCGCCACGTGGGACTTACCAGTGCGGTAGGTGAAGAGGAGGCCAAGAGGAGCTATCAATGATGATTGATGTTCAGTTGTGGGGATAGTTTAATGTGGGAACTGACATACTTATGTATTAAAGCTGATTGTCATTTCATAGAAGTAACTTGCAATTGGTTGCAGACCTTTGATTTGCTTCATGTGGCCCTAATTAAGTTCATGTTCACTGTTCATTTTCCATCCGGTAGATGAAAACGCAGTAGAAAGTGTAACTTTCTATTTGGATGTTTTTTATTTGTGAGACGCGTTTTTCCAACTGCCTATCCATATGGATCGTAGACTTCAGTTATATTATTTTGACTGCATATTTTTCATAGGTTGTTTACATGAACTAAAGACTATTATACTTTGTTGACGGGTTATCATCATAGCTTCAATGTAGCTATGTGGCTTTCCCATTTCGTGTTGCATGTTTCCCATGGTCCGCTTCGGTTTGTTAATTACATCCTTTGTAATTTGATGAATGGAGTTTCTTATGGTGTTCCCGCATTTCTTAGGGTTCGGGCCTTTCCAGTTCGCACTAAAGGGTGGCGAGTTTTGGAAGTCTCCACAAGGGGGAACTTTTTTTTTTATTTATTACATTAAAGTTAGCAAATATCTGCCAACATACTACTGTGGGCAAAAAGTAAGGTGAATTTGTTTGTAATGTGAAAATTCTTTATTTATTCTCCTGAATCAATTTCATCCCCTTCAAAGTAATCCCCTCCCTATAAAAAAAAAATATGCCAACGTTTTTTCAAATCCTCGAAACAGGCCAAATAGTCCCTTTCCGGTATAGCCATGAGCGCCCTCGTCGATTGCGCTTTTATCTTTTCAATCGACTCGAAACGCGTTCCCCGGAGCGGTCTCTTGAGTTTTGGGAATAGCCAGAAGTCACACGGAGCCAAATCAGGAGAGTACGGTAGTTGCGGAACGATATGCGTCGAATTCTTGGCGATTTGGTCACGAAGAACGAGTGCAGAAATTGAGCGTTTTCGGTACCAAACGAGATTTGACTTTTCCTAGGCCCAAATGGTCTTTCAAAATGGTTTTCACAGATCCTTCTGATATTCCGATCATATCAGTAAGGTCTCCAACAGTCAACCGACGATTTTTGAGCACTAATTCCTTCACTTCATTGTCGTGTTGTTCATCTGTTGACGCCGATGGTCGTTCGGAGCGCTCCAAGTCATCAACACGTTCCCGACCCTCTTGGAAGTCTTTGTACCACTTATAAACATTTTTCTGGGACATGGTAGAATCACCAAAGGCCTTCCGCAACATCCTCAACACCCTTCCGCAGCCGAAATTTCATTCCGCAAAAAAAAATTTGATGGCACTTCTCTGCTCAATTAAATCAGACATTGTAAAAATCGACAAATGCACTCTTGATCGTTTGGTAAACACAAGCGTAAATGTAGTACGGATACTGACATTGACATGAAATTACCGCCTGATGTCATCAACAGTCCTGCCAACTCAAGATAAAAAGAACTAGTCCGCCATCTTAAGGGGGTATGGTTAATTCGTCAAAAAAAAAGGACTATTTTCAAGAATCTTTTCCCCCGATACGGTTAAAGTCAGATTAATTATTTAAATAGCATATTAAAGTACAACACTTAAACTAAGTTTTTACAAATTTTCATCGAAAAAAAAAAAATAAATCTGCCGCTCGCAGCCAAACTCCGCAGGCGCCTCAAAAAAAAGGGTTTGCGGTGAACAGCACACACCCATAATGGATCATTTGAAAAAAAAAATTGTGTTTATTAGTTAATATATTTCTGAAGGTCACAACGTTGAGTTTTTTTTTATTCAATTTTTGGAATTTTGGTGACACTTTGAAGTCAAAAACCGTGATTTTAGCCTAAAAATTCGATATACTAATTATTATAAAATAAAAAATAATCAGTAAAAAAAAAACTCGACGTCAGTACCCGCAGTTGCAACATCCAGTTTGCTGCGCAGGTAGTTTTTGACGTCATCTTCAGAAGCACCAGGATTATGGCGAGAGACGAAAATAATCTTTTTTTTGAAACGCCCGATAAGGGCTTAGGTTCCATATGAGCGACTCCAGATAAGATTGACTGCAATGGTCCCGTGTTCGTATAAGCAGGCGTCAAAATTTTGCCAGAGCCAACTGCAGCAGCACACCACGTAGATGCCAGGTCGTTGTTGACGAGGTGCAGATCAGAAGGAGCGACTCGATCGGGAGGTCCAAAATAGGCAGCTGCAGGAGTAGTTCCTCTGGATCTGCCGTGCAGCCGTCAGCAACATCAGTAGAGACCTGGTAGCCAAAGGGCCTTTAAAGTTGGATTCAGCCTTTTCAAACCGAGTAAATAAGTCTTTAAATCCGGCCGGCCAATAAGGACTGGTACTCCAAATCGGTTTGCCTAATGAAAGCCATAATATTGACTTTAATATGATTTCTGTCAAGGTTCTGCTAGCTGCCTCTAGCTCGACTTTAAAAATTGGCTGCGGATTTTTGTTGTGTTTTAAAATGACAAGGGAAAAAACAGAAAGACAATATTGGGAGAAGCTAAGAAAAAGCTAGAAGCTAAAGGAGTTAGAATGTAATTCGAAAACTCTTTACTAGTGCCTTAAACAAAAGAATACATGAAAATTAATTGAATGAGCAATTTTTAGAAAATTTACTTACAGGTTATTTTATAAAAATTCTGTTATCTTTTAAAAAATCAGGATAGCCGAGTTTCTCGTTAAAAACCTTATAAGTATTAAAATATCAGCAATAAGCCTACATGTTACTTTGATTATTTACGTCTAAATATATTTATTTACATGTTTACTTAAAGTTGTCATGCACACCTCAGGATGGATTTTCGGCTCATTTTAAATATTTTAATGGATGCTCTCGAAAGGACAAAATCAATGTTATCAGAAGCAAATCGAAATCAAGTTATGTAAGTAAAAATATATCACTTGCACATATCTGCCCTATAAACAAATAAACAGCTTTACAAGGCAAAATCGTATTACGTACTTGCTTACTGTGAAACAAATTTTACATATTAACTAGCAAAGTGATCAAGTCTGAAAATCGGTATAGATTCATTCCAATCGCGCTTTGAAGATTTTTACCAGATACCGAAGACGGATTGGAAGAAAGTGATCTCATAAAATTTTTTAGGAATTATTTTCAGAATATGCTTTGTCTTACCTAACAAAAAATAAATTAATAAACCAATGGTGGGACTAAAATTTTGAATTTAAATAGATCTGATCTGAAGGAGAAGAAGGCATTTAAAGTTGTGAATAACAAAACATATCTCATTTTATATATACTTACAACCGTTACAAAAAATTTGTTAGAATATGAAGTTTGTATCCATTTTCCAAAATCAATAATAAAACACTCATATTTTCTCTATTGTAAATTTCAGGGGGATATTATAATTTTAGTCAGAAGTTTGCAACGCATTGAAGGAGACATTTCCGACCCCATAAAGTATATATATATCTGTCCGTCCGTCCGTTTTTACGCAAACTAGTCCCTCAGTTTTAAAGCTATCTGCTTAAAACTTTCCCAAAAGTTTTCTTTCTATTGTTTTTAATTATTTTTTTTTTGTTCTTTAGGATTTGATAATATTTAAATGTTATGGAATTACAGATTTAATTAAATTAAAATCGGATAATATAGAAACGATGGCAAAATGGTGCGCAATATTGACACAGCTTCATTGTTATACCCGTTACTCGTAGAGTAAAAGGGTATATTGTATTCGTGCAAAAATATGTAACAGGTAGAAGGAAGCGTTTCCGACCCTATAAAGTATATATATTCTTGTTCAGGATCACTAGCCGAGTCGATCTAGCCATGTCCGTCTGTCTGTCTGTCCGTATGAACGCTGAGATCTCGGAAACTATAAAAGCTAGAAGATTGGCATTTTGCATGTAGATTTTAGGAGTTCATACGCAGCGCAAGTTTGTTTCAAAATTGTTCCACGCCCCCTCTGACGCCCACAAGCCACAAGCTGCGGCCACAGTTTTGATGCTATTATGAAAATTTTAATTGATATGTATTTGTTTCGTCAATACCTATCGATTGGCCTAATAAAAGTTTGCCACGCCCACTCGAACGCCCATAAACTCATTAAACGCTTAAGCCTGGCTAGCGCCTATATTTCCGCCTTTCGTGGCCCGTGGTACCAATGTCTTGGGGCGCAATACCATAGCGCATATTTATATTAAGTTGTTTAGCTGAGTAACGGGTATCTAATAGTCGAGGCACTCGACTATAGCGTTCTCTCTTGTTTTTAGTAATATAGGCATAGAAATCGAAATGTAGTAGATTTGAAACAACTGCAAGGGTATATAAATTTCGGCTTGCCGAAGTTTTCTTCCTTTCTTGTTGTAGTTTAGCACCATCTCCTCCGTCAAAATATTTGTTATGACGCTGCTCAATTTTTGTTGGCCTAGCAGCTTGACCACATACTTTTCCTTAAAATATTAAGATATATATATATATATTATCCGCATATGAATAGTTTAATCGATAAAAAAATTATTGGTTAAAATACTTAGAATATTACTTGATAATTCAACATAATATCAATAAAAACAGTGGCGAGCAAAATAGTATTTTTACATATTTAGTATCATTTTACTTAGTATCATTTTACATTAAGGGGTTATCCGGGTCTTGGAACACGAAAAAAAGCCTATTTTCGTGAATTTTTTTAAAAGATCTTACGACAATTTCACAAATTTAATTTATTGTACATTAATGTTTATGGTTTGACCAACATTGTGTAAAAATTTGAACCAAAAATTTTTAAAATTGAGCCGTTGAGGCAGGCTTGAACTTGACCTCTTAAAAAATTGTGTCTTTGCGGTAGGCAAAATATCTCCGCCAATTTTTATCTGAAATCAAAAAACCAAAATTATTCTGATAGTGAATGTGTCTCGCTTGTCCTCTACGAGCCATTTTTATTTAAAAATAAAAAATGGATTTTTGTAGCGCTTTTCATAAAAAGTGTCATTATACCCGTTACTCGTAGAGTAAAAGGGTATATTGTATTCGTGCAAAAGTATGTAACAGCTAGAAGGAAGCGTTTCCGACCCTATAAAGTATATATATTCTTGATCAGGATCACTAGCCGAGTGGATCTAGCCATGTCCGTCTGTCCGTCTGTCCGTCTGTCCGTCTGTCTGTCTGTCCGTCTGTCTGTCCGTCTGTCTGTCTGTCTGTCCGTATGAACGCTGAGATCTCGGAAACTATAAAAGCTAGAAGATTGGCATTTTGCATTGATTTTAGAAGTTCCTACGCAGCGCAAGTTTGTTTCAAAATGGTGCCACGCCCCTTTAACGCCCACAATCGCTTATATACGATTTTAAAAATTTAAATATTTCGAAAAATAAAAATGCAGTTTTATTGTGTTTATCAATACCTATCGAAATGTAGAAGAAATTTTTCAAATCGGACCATTCGTTAAAAAGTTATGCGTGATCAAAGTTTCTATCTCCATCTCCCTCACACTCCCTTTACCGGAGTAACGGGTATCTGATAGTCGGGGCACCCGACTATAGCGTTCTCTCTTGTTTTTTACGTAAATTTTGGCCATATTTTGGCTTATAAAATGAGTTGTAATTAAAAATTTAAAAAATCCCTCCGTTAAGGACAAGAGAATTATGTTTAAAAGAAGTGTGCAAAAGCAGAAGTTGATCGGTGCAATAGTTTTTGAGAAATCGTGACTACCGACTTCAAAAAAGTGGTTTTGAGAAAAACGCGTTTAAAGTGCCGCATCTGCCCGACGCCAGAGCCCTTGGCTTGTTGTGACGTTCGACGCGCTGGGTTTTAAATTTCTCCCATTCCTACAGTTTTGCTTCGATCGACTTGAAATTTTTAGACAACATTCCTGAAACTTTGTACTATTATATAAAAAAGTTTGAAAAAAATGAATTTTTTGAAGTGTCAAGACCCGGATAACCCCTTAACTGAAAAAAAAACAAATTTTATTTTAAAATTCCTTGCAATTTTTTCTATAGCCACATTTAAACAAATAAACTTGCCTATTTGCATATAATTTCTGCGATAAAATATTTTTTTGTAATAAGTAGCAAGGGTCGAGATGAACTTGTTTAAATATTTTAAAGTTATTTTTACATGTCTCATGTCACACTTATAATAATAAAACTTAATTTTTAACTATTCACAAAAAATCGTAACTTCTATCCGTTCTCTGTGGAAATATAATGCAATTGCATGTAAAAGCCGAGAAAACAGACCACCAAAATAAAAATAAAAACTTCGAGAAAAAACAAGGACTCCGTTAATTTTATTGTTTTACATGTTTCGCTTCGCGTCAAATCAGTGTATTTAAATTTGTATGACATAAATTTACATTATCTAAATTCTCTTAATGAATAAATTCATTTCTTTCAGAACAATCAAATTTAATTTTATTTGTTAAAAGTATATCCATAAAATAATTTAATAAATAAGTATCGACTAGAATACGTATTACAAAAACAAATTAAATTTCATAGGTAACAACAGGTATTATGATTTTAATAGAATGTCCTCCTCCTGTTAGCTCATCTTATAGGGATTGAGACAGAGAAAGAGAGGGGAGTTTGGGTGTGTTGAATTTCGGAACTCCAGAATATATTGTCGTTTTTCACCTCTCGTGATCTCGTTTTTATGAGTAAAAAGCACTGCTCGTTTTCATGTTTTCTAAATATATAACGACTAAAAATACCCTCCAATTTTATTTTTTAGCCGTATACGCCTAATTGTGTATAAGGTAATATCATTATGGTGCTCTACCCTAAAAGAAGGAAGCCACTGCGAAATTATATCGGAGACTCTTATTAAGGAAATATTGGATGACATAGATCCACGAGACGCAACAGCATTAACATGTGTAAGTAACATATATGTTTATTGTAAGACATTAAATATAAATTTTATATTTTTTTAAACCCAAACCAGCGAGGCAATTCAAATTTAATGCAAAAAGGTTCGGTCAAAGACATTTATTTGATGTTGGAGATGTCATTTGGTGATGAAGATAATGATCTGCTTCGTCAGGAAGCCCATTTTTGCCTGCGAAAATTGTTATCATCTTCTGGTTTCTTGCTTAAACAATCTCTTTTAAAGGAAAGTATAGTAAAGTATACCTAATACAAATTTAACCAATTATATCAAAAATATTACAGGACGTGCACAACACCTTATTGGAAATTTTTATTAAAATACATTCTCAACCGATGAAAAAGCCATATTTACGAAACATTTGGAATTGTCGCTTGGAAGTTTACAGATCATTCATATTTTTATTAAAATCGCGAAATTATAGATGTCCTGTGCCTTCTGAAATAATGATCACTCTTTTAGACGAATCCCGTTTAAACGAAAACAGCATTGAACTACGACAAAATTGTAATATTAATGCATTGGAAATAATGCTTCATCCTCAGAAAGCTGATATTACCTTTAAAAAATATTTTGAAAATGTAGGGATCATAACTACCGGGCATACAAACATTACTGATTCGGATAATTCAAAATGGATATCACTTAAAGACATAAGTCAATTACACATTCATGCTGATGAGAATGAAATTGTAATCCCAAGTAATCAAAAAGAAAAAGAAAAAGTTAGTTTACAAACTGGTCCTGAAGCAATTAATCCACTTTATAAAAAGAATGTCTATTTTAGTGAAACATCCTCCAAAATAACTACAATTGACGTTAATGATAAATATAACATCGAGTTTGATAATAATTTATTGAAAAATGATAAATGTTTTGAAAAATTAAATACTAATCGTTTCGAAATAATTCCAGAATTGTTGAACGACTCAGCACAAAATGTCAAGGAAATATCAAAAGAATCATGCCATTTTTTAGTAAACGACAAATTAGAGAGTTTTGAAAACCGTGATCAAGAAATGATTAATGGCAATGATAGTTCTGGCTTTTCATCCTCCTACTACAATTTTGAAAAATGTGTCAAAAATTTGCCAAAGAACTTAGGAAAATATGATGATGAAAAAATGATAGCGGACTTGGAAGCAGAATTTGTTGGTGAACTTAAATAACATTATAACAAATTATTGTTTTAAGAAGATAAACATTTTTAAACTGAGCTCAACATTTTCGTTTTTATTTATTGGTATATTATGTTTAACTAATGCGCTGCGTTTTGCCATTGTCTGCATGGCAGCTATATGATATTTATACCCGTTACTCGTAGAGTAAAAGGGTATATTGTATTCGTGCAAAAGTATGTAACAGGTAGAAGGAAGCGTTTCCGACCCTATAAAGTATATATATTCTTGTTCAGGATCACTAGCCGAGTCGATCTAGCCATGTCCGTCTGTCTGTCTGTCCGTATGAACGCTGAGATCTCGGAAACTATAAAAGCTAGAAGATTGGCATTTTGCATGTAGATTTTAGGAGTTCATACGCAGCGCAAGTTTGTTTCAAAATTGTTCCACGCCCCCTCTGACGCCCACAAGCCACAAGCTGCGGCCACAGTTTTGATGCTATTATGAAAATTTTAATTGATATGTATTTGTTTCGTCAATACCTATCGATTGGCCTAATAAAAGTTTGCCACGCCCACTCGAACGCCCATAAACTCATTAAACGCTTAAGCCTGGCTAGCGCCTATATTTCCGCCTTTCGTGGCCCGTGGTACCAATGTCTTGGGGCGCAATACCATAGCGCATATTTATATTAAGTTGTTTAGCTGAGTAACGGGTATCTAATAGTCGAGGCACTCGACTATAGCGTTCTCTCTTGTTTTTAGTAATATAGGCATAGAAATCGAAATGTAGTAGATTTGAAACAACTGCAAGGGTATATAAATTTCGGCTTGCCGAAGTTTTCTTCCTTTCTTGTTGTAGTTTAGCACCATCTCCTCCGTCAAAATATTTGTTATGACGCTGCTCAATTTTTGTTGGCCTAGCAGCTTGACCACATACTTTTCCTTAAAATATTAAGATATATATATATATATTATCCGCATATGAATAGTTTAATCGATAAAAAAATTATTGGTTAAAATACTTAGAATATTACTTGATAATTCAACATAATATCAATAAAAACAGTGGCGAGCAAAATAGTATTTTTACATATTTAGTATCATTTTACTTAGTATCATTTTACATTAAGGGGTTATCCGGGTCTTGGAACACGAAAAAAAGCCTATTTTCGTGAATTTTTTTTAAAGATCTTACGACAATTTCACAAATTTAATTTATTGTACATTAATGTTTATGGTTTGACCAACATTGTGTAAAAATTTGAACCAAAAATTTTTAAAATTGAGCCGTTGAGGCAGGCTTGAACTTGACCTCTTAAAAAATTGTGTCTTTGCGGTAGGCAAAATATCTCCGCCAATTTTTATCTGAAATCAAAAAACCAAAATTATTCTGATAGTGAATGTGTCTCGCTTGTCCTCTACGAGCCATTTTTATTTAAAAATAAAAAATGGATTTTTGTAGCGCTTTTCATAAAAAGTGTCATTTTTTACGTAAATTTTGGCCATATTTTGGCTTATAAAATGAGTTGTAATTAAAAATTTAAAAAATCCCTCCGTTAAGGACAAGAGAATTATGTTTAAAAGAAGTGTGCAAAAGCAGAAGTTGATCGGTGCAATAGTTTTTGAGAAATCGTGACTACCGACTTCAAAAAAGTGGTTTTGAGAAAAACGCGTTTAAAGTGCCCGCATCTGCCCGACGCCAGAGCCCTTGGCTTGTTGTGACGTTCGACGCGCTGGGTTTTAAATTTCTCCCATTCCTACAGTTTTGCTTCGATCGACTTGAAATTTTTAGACAACATTCCTGAAACTTTGTACTATTATATAAAAAAGTTTGAAAAAAATGAATTTTTGAAGTGTCAAGACCCGGATAACCCCTTAAATGAAAAAAAACAAATTTTATTTTAAAATTCCTTGCAATTTTTTCTATAGCCACATTTAAACAAATAAACTTGCCTATTTGCATATAATTTCTGCGATAAAATATTTTTTTGTAATAAGTAGCAAGGGTCGAGATGAACTTGTTTAAATATTTTAAAGTTATTTTTACATGTCTCATGTCACACTTATAATAATAAAACTTAATTTTTAACTATTCACAAAAAATCGTAACTTCTATCCGTTCTCTGTGGAAATATAATGCAATTGCATGTAAAAGCCGAAAAAACAGACCACCAAAATAAAAATAAAAACTTCGAGAAAAAACAAGGACTCCGTTAATTTTATTGTTTTACATGTTTCGCTTCGCGTCAAATCAGTGTATTTAAATTTGTATGACATAAATTTACATTATCTAAATTCTCTTAATGAATAAATTCATTTCTTTCAGAACAATCAAATTTAATTTTATTTGTTAAAAGTATATCCATAAAATAATTTAATAAATAAGTATCGACTAGAATACGTATTACAAAAACAAATTAAATTTCATAGGTAACAACAGGTATTATGATTTTAATAGAATGTCCTCCTCCTGTTAGCTCATCTTATAGGGATTGAGACAGAGAAAGAGAGGGGAGTTTGGGTGTGTTGAATTTCGGAACTCCAGAATATATTGTCGTTTTTCACCTCTCGTGATCTCGTTTTTATGAGTAAAAAGCACTGCTCGTTTTCATGTTTTCTAAATATATAACGACTAAAAATACCCTCCAATTTTATTTTTTAGCCGTATACGCCTAATTGTGTATAAGGTAATATCATTATGGTGCTCTACCCTAAAAGAAGGAAGCCACTGCGAAATTATATCGGAGACTCTTATTAAGGAAATATTGGATGACATAGATCCACGAGACGCAACAGCATTAACATGTGTAAGTAACATATATGTTTATTGTAAGACATTAAATATAAATTTTATATTTTTTTAAACCCAAACCAGCGAGGCAATTCAAATTTAATGCAAAAAGGTTCGGTCAAAGACATTTATTTGATGTTGGAGATGTCATTTGGTGATGAAGATAATGATCTGCTTCGTAAGGAAGCCCATTTTTGCCTGCGAAAATTGTTATCATCTTCTGGTTTCTTGCTTAAACAATCTCTTTTAAAGGAAAGTATAGTAAAGTATTCCTAATACAAATTTAACCAATTATATCAAAAAAATTACAGGACGTGCACAACACCTTATTGGAAATTTTTATTAAAATACATTCTCAACCGATGAAAAAGCCATATTTACGAAACATTTGGAATTGTCGCTTGGAAATTTACAGATCATTCATATTTTTATTAAAATCGCGAAATTATAGATGTCCTGTGCCTTCTGAAATAATGATCACTCTTTTAGACGAATCCCGTTTAAACGAAAACAGCATTGAACTACGACAAAATTGTAATATTAATGCATTGGAAATAATGCTTCATCCTCAGAAAGCTGATATTACCTTTAAAAAATATTTTGAAAATGTAGGGATCATAACTACCAGGCATACAAACATTACTGATTCGGATAATTCAAAATGGATATCACTTAAAGACATAAGTCAATTACACATTCATGCTGATGAGAATGAAATTGTAATCCCAAGTAATCAAAAAGAAAAAGAAAAAGTTAGTTTACAAACTGGTCCTGAAGCAATTAATCCACTTTATAAAAAGAATGTCTATTTTAGTGAAACATCCTCCAAAATAACTACAATTGACGTTAATGATAAATATAACATCGAGTTTGATAATAATTTATTGAAAAATGATAAATGTTTTGAAAAATTAAATACTAATCGTTTCGAAATAATTCCAGAATTGTTGAACGACTCAGCACAAAATGTCAAGGAAATATCAAAAGAATCATGCCATTTTTTAGTAAACGACAACTTAGAGAGTTTTGAAAACCGTGATCAAGAAATGATTAATGGCAATGATAGTTCTGGCTTGTCATCCTCCTACTACAATTTTGAAAAATGTGTCAAAAATTTGCCAAAGAACTTAGGAAAATATGATGATGAAAAAATGATAGCGGACTTGGAAGCAGAATTTGTTGGTGAACTTAAATAACATTATAACAAATTATTGTTTTAAGAAGATAAACATTTTTGAACTGAGCTCAACATTTTCGTTTTTATTTATTGGTATATTATGTTTAACTAATGCGCTGCGTTTTGCCATCGTCTGCATGGCAGCTATATGATATTTATACCCGTTACTCGTAGAGTAAAAGGGTATATTGTATTCGTGCAAAAGTATGTAACAGGTAGAAGGAAGCGTTTCCGACCCTATAAAGTATATATATTCTTGTTCAGGATCACTAGCCGAGTCGAACTAGCCATCTCCGTCTGTCCGTCTGTCCGTCTGTCTGTCCGTATGAACGCTGAGATCTCGGATACTATAAAAGCTAGAAGATTGGCATTTTGCATGTAGATTTGAGGAGTTCCTACGCAGCGCAAGTTTGTTTCAAAATGGTGCCACGCCCCCTCTGACGCCCATAAGCCACAAGCTGTGGCCACAGTTTTGATGATATTATGAAAATTTTAATTGATATGTATTTGTTTCGTCAATACCTATCGATTGGCCTAATAAAAGTTTGCCACGCCCACTCTAACGCCCAAAAACCCATTAAACGCTTAAGCCTGGCTAGCGCCTACATTTCCGCCTTCCATGGCGCCATCTAACGGATGACTTTGGATCAGCTGACCAAGGTGCTCAACAGAGTCAACGCTAATTTCATTTGTTTTCATTTGTCAATACCGAACTATATCCCAAGAACTATGCAAATCAAATCAAGTTAGCCAAATTGGAGGTCTGAGTCAAACAATGGCGTATGTGTGTATTTATGTAAGCATATACATATGTATGTATTTACATTGTACTCAGTTGCAATTGCCCGGCAAAGATAACTCCTTTCAAAAAAGCTATTCGCTATACCCGTTACTCGTGTTGTGCAAACATTTAGACTTTAATATACATAATACTATTTAAGAATGTATGTGTTTAGCCAATATAAGTATGTATGTTTAATCTTTCTAGTCAATTTATTACAAGAAGGCATATTTATATTAAGTTGTTTAGCTGAGTAACGGGTATCTAATAGTCGAGGCACTCGACTATAGCGTTCTCTCTTGTTTTGTCTTATTTTGACAAAACTAAAAGCGTAATTCTGATATAGTAAATAATTACTATGCCTTAAATCAATATTTTGATAAATAAAAAAACAGCAAAATACAATTTTTTAAAAATTGTTTGATTTAATAAAATTAATTTAATTAAAACCGTAATTCCATAGTATTTAAATATTACCAAATCCCAAAGAATATTTTCTCTATTGTAAATTTCAGGGGGATATTATAATTTTAGTCAGAAGTTTGCAACGCATTGAAGGAGACATTTCCGACCCCATAAAGTATATATATATCTGTCCGTCCGTCCGTTTTTACGCAAACTGGTCCCTCAGTTTTAAAGCTATCTGCTTAAAACTTTCCCAAAAGTTTTCTTTCTATTGTTTTTAATTATTTTTTTTTTTTGTTCTTTAGGATTTGATAATATTTAAATGTTATGGAATTACAGATTTAATTAAATTAAAATCGGATAATATAGAAACGATGGCAAAATGGTGCGCAATATTGACGAAGCTTCATTGTTATACCCGTTACTCGTAGAGTAAAAGGGTATATTGTATTCGTGCAAAAGTATGTAACAGGTAGAAGGAAGCGTTTCCGACCCTATAAAGTATATATATTCTTGTTCAGGATCACTAGCCGAGTCGAACTAGCCATGTCCGTCTGTCCGTCTGTCTGTCCGTATGAACGCTGAGATCTCGGATACTATAAAAGCTAGAAGATTGGCATTTTGCATGTAGATTTTAGGAGTTCCTACGTAGCGCAAGTTTGTTTCAAAATTGTTCCACGCCCCCTCTGACGCCCACAAGCCACAAGCTGTGGCCACAGTTTTGATGCTATTATGAAAATTTTAATTGATATGTATTTGTTTCGTCAATACCTATCGATTGGCCTAATAAAAGTTTGCCACGCCCATAAACTCATTAAACGCTTAAGCCTGTATAGCGCCTATATTTCGTTTGCATGGCAGCTATATGATATTTTTGTCTTATTTTGACAAAACTAAAAGCGTAATTCTGATATAGTAAATAATTACTATGTCTTAAATCAATATTTTGATAAATAAAAAAACAGCAAAATACAATTTTTTAAAAATTTTTTGATTTAATAAAATTAATTTGATTAAAACCGTAATTCCAAAGTATTTAAATATTACCAAATCCCAAAGAACAAAACAAAATTAAAAAAAACAACAAAGTTATACTTTTAAATTTTTTTTCCGATTGTTCCTATGTGAGCTATATGATATAGTTGCCCGATCCGGCTCATTCCGACTTATATACTACCTGCAATAGAGAGACAACTTTTGAGAAGCATAGCTTTAAAACTGAGGGACTAGTTTGCGTAGAAACGGACGGACGGACGGACAGACAGGCAGACAGACAGACAGACAGACATGGCTAGATCGACTCTCCTGGTGATGCTGATCAGGAATATAGGTTAACTAAGTTAACCGGGCGACGGCAATGACCGATCGTCCGAAGTCTCGCTCCGGCCAAATTGCTGACACAGCGTCTGGCCGGAAGCTCATGGAGTGGCCGCTATGAGTCTCTTTTTTGTTAGCTTTAAGTTTCAGTCTGAGTCCCTAGGCCAGCAGGTAAAGAAGGGCAGTCACCCTTCCATCGTAATCTTCATAATACATCTTGGAGAATTCTTCGGCCAGCCGGCCAGCAACCACAGCGGCGGACCTTGTCAGTCGCACCCTTTGGATTATCTGCAACTGCGAGGGACCACCCGCAATTCACAATTGGGATAATCATATATATTAATTTATATATACTTTATAGGGTCGGAAATGTCGCCTTCACTGCGTTGAAAACTTTTGACTGAAATTATAAGCAGAATGCAGGAATTAAATGTTCGTCTTAGACTTATTGTGCTCTGTCTAGCCATATTTTTTTACGGAAGACTTATTAGCTAAAAAGCTAGGGTGACAATTTGTAATGTAAAAGTATGACATATAAGCTCTAACCAACTGTAATCTTTTCGATAGCTACAGCGGTAATTTGGCTTCTTTCCAACTCGTAGCAATGTTGAGGATTAAAGTTGGGTAACTTTCACTACTATATTACGCGTAATTCGGTTCTCTTGGCGTAATAATATTTGCAAGCCACACGAAAACTCGCAAGCTTCAGTGGCAAAAACGACTTTTTTTTTTTTTGTAAAGCACATTATAGAATTCTGGGCTGACAACGAGAGCTATTGCCAATTGTAGTGATTTATACACGGCTGTTTTAAATATCCATTTATGAGTCTTGCTCCAATGTGAAGTGATCTCTGAGTGAAATATCGATTTTATCTATGTTTGCAAATCATCGAAACCAACTATGGTTTGACTGATTGCAGTTCCTTAAGCCTAGTACTCAGATCGATGAAAACTGTTCGTCAGTCAGGAGAACGCCAGACGCGGAGGACTTTGAAAATATTAAACTTACTGAATTCCAACTTATCAATGCAAACAATAGACAGATAAATATTAACAAAAAAATACAGGAACAAATCAATAGTATTTCCACCACTGTCAACCCAATTCTGAGGTCGGCTAAAGAATCCCAAATTGACTCGGGGCACCTATACGAGATGTTATTATCTCGGAATAGGATGATTGCGATGGAGCTGCAAAATTTATTTCTAGCAATAGCTCTTGCCAAAATCAATATAGTTAGCCCTAGCATATTAGATCATGCAGACCTGGAAAGTGTGTGGATTGAGGAGCCCACAGATACCCCCGTTGGAGATATATTGTCCGTTGCGTCTGTTAAAATATTACAATCCATGTTAATGGATTAACATTATTACATTTCATTATTAAATTTCCGAAAATTAAGTCAGCATATGTCAAGATCAACTGTCGTTAAATTGTTATCATTGAAAAACTGTCTGAATCCCTAGGCCAGCAGGTAAAGAAGGGCAGTCACCCTTCCATCGTAATCTTTATAATTCATCTTGGAGAAT